GCCTGATGCTCTTCAATATTTTTTATTAATGAGTTGGATGAGGGAGTGCAGGGAATACTTGTCAGATTTGCAGATGATACTAAATTGGGTGGAATAGCTAATACCCCAGTAGTCAGAAAGATGACCTTGATAGGATGGAGCAGTGGGCCAAAACCAACCGAATTAAATTCAACAGGGATAAGTGCAAAGTCCTGCACCTCGGAAAAAGAAACCAATTGAACAGTTACAAGATGGGGGAGATCTGGCTCAGCAAAACAAAGAGCAAGAAGGATCTTGCAGTTGTCGTATATCACAAGCTAAACATGAGCCAACAGTGTGATGTGGCTACAAAAAAGGCAAATGGTATTTTAGGCTGCATTAATAGAAGTATAGTTTTCAAAACCCGCAAGGTGCTAGTCCTCCTCTATTGAGCACTTCTTAGGCCTCACCTTGAGTGTATTGTGTCCAGTTCTGGATACCACACTTCAAGAAGGACGCTAACAAACTGGAACAAGTTCAGAGGAGGGCAAGGAGGATGAGCAGGGGGCAGGAAACTAAGCCTTCTTCGTGGTGTCTGTGAAGGCACACTAATGGGTTTAATCTGTGCCTGCGCAGAGGTCTCTGGAATATTCTAGAGCTTTATCACACATTAGTATATGCGGTCCACCCATCCTTGCGATTGCCTCAGTTCCTTTTTGCCACTGCTGAGCTTTCTCCTCTCGTTGAGCTCTCCATTCATCACTGCTTTCATTTTCAACTATAACAGAATTACGAGGGAAAATTGTAACAGACTTTTCAAACTATTTCTCCCTCTCCTGATCGCCCCCTTCCCCGTGCCATTTATGGCCACCGTTTAAAAGATGCACTTTGTGCTCCAACAAGATCCCCCTCACAGACGGTCACGATATTTGTCTTTTCTGCTTCAGGAAATCTCATCAGCCATCTACATGCCAGTTCTGCAAAAATGTTACTCAGCAAGCTCTTAAACTCAAACATCAGCATCTCAGATCCTTTCTTTGGGAATGTTCTTTACAACCAACACAAATTATGGAAACTTCCCAAACTTCTCAGCCCCCTAAAGGATCCCTGGAGGTGTCTACCACTTCTGTGACTCCTAAACCAGTTTCCAAATCCAAATTTAATCTAGCTCTAAAGCTAAGTCTTCAACATCAGCTACTAAGTCCACTCCAGACCAAACCCTCCTTCGATACCGGAACACACCAAGCCTAAGACAATGAAGAAATCCTCTTCAAACTCCCATGTCACATTCCCAGGGGGTTTCAACAGGCAAAAGCCCAATATACCAGTCCAATATCAGAAGTCCAGGAGATGCAAAGCAGATACCAAAATGCCAAAGCCAAAACACAAACCGTAGTCAGAAGTCAGAGTCCAAAGTCAAGGGTCCAGAGAACAAGGTCCAGGATAAGCAGGAGCGTGGATCCGAGCCAGAGTGTTGACTTGTTGCTTCCACAAGCTTCTAAGCCTTCTAGGTGCAGATTATATAGCTAAAATAGTCATCAAACTCCTAGAAGCCTTCCATCCTGTTAAAACTCAGGACTGGTTGACCTGATGTTCCTGTGGGAAGCATTCATGTGAGACTCTGACCTTCGTGTCATGAGTCTTTGCCAAAGTTTAGCCCTCACTCTGGCTACTGGGGGAGGAGAATCTGGTGGTGATTCAACTCTCTGTGCTTCTAATTGACCAGCATTTTCCTCAGCTGTAATTAACCCCTCAGATTCCAGATTTTCTTTGGCTGAACTCATGACAGGCGGTCAGCCTTGTTTATGGTCCAACTCTCACTTCCATACATAGCTACTGGAAAAACCATGGCTTTGACTATGCGGACCTTTGTCGACAAGGTGACGTCTCTGCTTTTTAAGATGCTGCCAAGGTTTGTCATCGCTTCCCTCCCAAGAAGCAGGTGTCTTTTAATTTAAAAAAGCAAAACAGAGCCTTTGACTTTCCCATTGCTCAGATCAGCTTACACCATCTCTCTACACCCAGCACCACTCGTCTTTCAACCCATCTTCCTTGGGCATCTATCACCACCGATGCTTGGTTCTTCTTTGGGGTCTCTGTGAATGCACACGAATGGATTAAACTGCGCCTGTGCAGGACTCTTCGGAACGTTCTAGAGCTTTAACAAATAACCAATGAAACATCTCCCCGTGTCACACATACTTCACCCGCCCGCGGTACCTCAGTTCCTTTTTGCCGCTGCTGCAATCAGATTGCTTCGAATTGCTTAGAGCTTATTAATCCTAAAATTTTCTGGTTTGAGCACAGACTGTTTTTGACTACAATCTCTTATCTGGATATTCGACTCGGACTGTCTGACCTTTGATTTTCACTTGATTCAGCTATACTTATTATCTGGCTTTGAACCTCGGACTGATTATTGTTGTGATTTGGATTACAGATTGGATTTGTACTATTCAATTTATACTTGATTCTGTCTTCTCGGTTTGATACCTCGGCTTGACCTTGGACTACTATCACTAACATTTCCCGTGAGTCCCCTTTATTGATGCCACCATCCTTTCGGTTCCCGCCAAATTTTATGGCTTCTTTGGGCCCATTCAAACCTTGCACATTGCGTACTAATAAAATCCCTTTCACTGACAGCCACAGCCGCTGTTTGTTTTGTTTAGGGGAAAGACACCAGCCAAGTTCGTGCCTGGAGTGCAAAAAACTGATCAAGCCCGCCTTAAAGCTCCATTTACAATGACTCCGTCCCTATCTTTAGGAAAAGTCGTTGACAGTGTCAGGCTTGACAGCAATGGAACCTACCATTCCGACTGCTTCTCCTACTCCTCGTCCCGACCCCGCTGCTTCACCAGCACCAGCTATCCCGTCCTCCAGGACTTCATCGAAACTGTTGAAGTTGAAAAAATCTTTGACACCGGGATCGACATCGGCATCAAAATCACCAACTGTTAAGGACCCTAAGAAGAAGGAGGAGGTGGTTAAGCATAAAAAGGCTGAACACCCATCCAAGTCTGTTCAACTTAAAGAGCCTCCCCCAGTTCATGTCACCCTGCCCTCACCCATACTAGAGGAATCTTCCAGGGAGCTACATGACCCTGAGTCACTTTCGGAAGGGGATGGCTTTCTGCCACAGACACAGGCATCGATGTCAGATCTGAGCCTGTCTCCCAGTCATGGCTGCTCTGAGGCTGAGATTATTTCCAGCCTGGCCTCGGCCCATTTGAGCCCTATATCTATTGAGTGGGCAGCAGTGGCTCACTTGCTGGATCCGGAGGAGTCACCACAGCAATCCCCTCCGCAGAAGCATCTTACAAAGCATAGGCACATTTCTCCAGACTGACAGTTCCCTCGACATTGGGACATAATACTACTCCCGCATCCATCTCAATGTCATGCTATGGCTGAGTATGAGGAGGCACTTTATGTCAAAATGGTACGGCTTGGCGATCAACATTGATATTGGGGGTACGACCTCAATCCCGCATACAGCGCCGGGGACTATGTCAGACCCAAGAGGGTGTGATACATCTGTGCTTCTTCTGAGTCATCTCTATCGCCCTCACCGCCTCGACAGCAGCATCAAGCCTATTTTCAGCTCACCTGATGGCCGCGAAGCCTGTTTCTAAACACTAACATCAAGAACATTTGTCTCATCCTGAAAAGCACCCTCAAGCACCATTGGTACCATTACCTTCGGTATAACACTCTAGGGTGTCCCATACTCTAACATCTTGTCAGGCTGCGCCTTCAGTATCCATTCATCCATCTGCACCGTTTCCACGGGTTTCAGCCTCCATGTCGAGATCTCACCGACAATCACTCTTGCCCCCTTTATCTTTTGATAAAGAGTCGAGAGGCTTGTCGGTGTCTGGATCTGATCAAGACCCACAGTCAGAGGCATCCAGAGAATTTCCCTCAAACTTGCCCACACCGGATTCAGACATCACTGACATCCACCCACCTTCCCCCTCTGAGGATTTCACATCGTATTTACAATTGATCACACGTATGGCTAAATCGTTAGAATTGGACATAGACCAACCTCCACCTCCCAAACACGACCTGGTGTTTGATTATATAGATCAGGATAGATCTCCTCCTTTGAGCTTTGCCTTTATTCTGGCAATGTTAGACCTAATCAAGGAAACCTGGAATCATCCACCTATATCTCTACAGATCACCAGGCGGATAGAAAATCATTATAGGACACCCAGCAATGATACGTCTTTCCTCAATAAGCATCCAGCACTGAGCTCGATCATTGTCCAGTTCAACCAGTCACAAGCAAGAAATTAGTCTGAGGTGACCCCTACCAACAGGGAGGGTTGTAAATTGAAGGTACTCAGCCATCGCCTATACTCGTTGGCTTCCTTTGTGATGAGAGTCTCTAACTATCAGGCAGCCATGGACGTTTATCAGAGGCAGTTTTGGAATAAAATCCTTTGAATTCTTCAAGAAGAAACCAGAACAGCTGCCCTCAATACTCATTTGGAAGCGACGACATTGGCTAAGCAGCAACACCTGTCATTGCATCATACTGCAGATACAGCTTCCAAGGCTATTATATTTGCCAATGCTGTTTGCAGGCACGCTTGCTTGCGCTCAGCAGGCATCAAAGATGACGGCAGGTCACGGATTGAAGAGCTTCCATTTGACGGCGCTGGATTATTCAACAAAAAACTGATGAGGTGATGGAGAATCTGCATAAGATTAGAAAAACAGCTTGATCCTTGCTTCCCCTGCACCATCGGAGGGCTGGGGGGGGGGTCCTTGCAACCGGGA